CTTCAGCTCCTATTGCAGAAATCTTCTGTGTATTTATACCACAAGAAAAGTAGCTCTACAGTGGTACTTAACAGAAGTAGAGTATGTCTTCCTTTTACAGCTGCAATAACAGGCCGCTGCACTGGTAACTAGATGGCAGAGCTCTTCAAAATGGCTCTTGCTTGAACAGGGGTAACCACTAGAGGGGTTTCCCTTTCTCTTTACTCGTTGCCTTCTATTTTTTCTCTTTTAAACGTGAAGGGACTTTTTTTTAGTCATGAAGGGACTGATGTAGTTGGAAGAACAAAACTAAATATGAACGGCTAACATAGCATGTACTGTATTCAATCAGAAAAAGATGGAAAAAACAAATAACCAGGCTAACAACCTTGGAATACGTTTGTGACCCACAAGATGCAGCATGAGCTCTCCAATTAAGTCTTTAAAACTTCAGGAAGATTCTAGTACTTCCCCCTTGCAATTTACTCCAGTTTCTTATGAATTATCCACAGGTTTTTCCAAATTCTTACCCTAAGTTCCACCCCTGTTGTATTGTCATATGATGCCTTCTACTTATAAACCGCTTCTATAATGCTCAATATTTCCTCTTGGTGTCAGGCTCTCAGAAATATTTGTACACAGTTATCATGTTCCATTCTTACTTATGACTTAGCAATCTATCTATACTCAGTTCTGTTCTTTCATTCTTCCCATGAATCCAAAATCATTCAACCTGTTAATCACGCTGAGTTTCTTCTTTGGATTCTATCCCATTTGTCTATCTTTGTGCAACTGGAATACCAAATTTGGTACTTTGTATCTTATTATCAAAGGAAGGGGCCAGTATTTCATTAGCATATTTTATTTATTTCAAAAGCATATGGGTCACTTTTGCCACCCTATTACATTCCACATCTTAGACCAGAAGGTAACCCACTATACTAATCACAGTGCTTCTTAACACTCTCCACTTACCATGCTGCAGCAATAGCACCAAAGAGCAAGCCCTTGAAGAAATCAAGAACGCTGCTTAAGTAAAATCTAAATAGAACCTGGGTCTTTCCAAAGAACAATGAAAAGAAAACAAAACACTGAAAAATTGTTCATTCATTCTGTACACTGAAAACGAATCGTACTGAGGGTGGGCGGGAATCCTTTGACCATGACAGTCATGACATACATGCATTGGGAGGGGCACATGAAACTTTAACTTTGTTATATCCTAGCTTTTGCATGCTTGACTCGATAACGTTAACAGTCTTCCATTAGCGTAGCTGGCAGACTTATCACTTTGCATTCTTTTAATGTCTCCCCTTTCAAGGCTTCTCTTCATCACTGGAGGATGGAGGCATTTGTATCCGGCATTTTATCAAACTGAATGTTGTGTTGTCCTTCCCTGCATATTCTATTAATTTTTCTCAATTTCCTATCACTTCACATCTTATGTTTGAAAATCTAATTAAACTGTTTTTTAACATCATTAATGGACTGTAACAAGGAAGTAAGTAAATCCAGACCCAACTCTGATCTCGGAACACCAATTTAGATACTTCTTCTACTCTGTATGCTGTCAATTCTGGTCCTTCATCTGCAGTCCAGGCTTTTCATAACATTGCTTAGACCCAAACTAGTGTGTGTTATGCTTAAGCAACTCAAAAAAGAATGAAATTCACCCATGTCCTCTTCGTTTGCTGTTTTTCCTGTTCTGCCTATACACCCTCAAAAAGTCATTTAGGTAGGACTTTTTATTTTGAGAACTGACACAAGAAGTTCACTACTGGAAAGTAACAACTATCTACTCCCCTTCCAGCTCCTCCACATCTCCCCTTCATCACATTTCCTTTTGCCATTTATCAAAAATGGCAAACAGACAAGACTGTATTTGGTCTTTTAGGGAAAGCAGTATTAACTTTGAGGCAGCTTCACAGAACGAAACACTCTAGCATCCAATATCTTACAACAACATATCTCACTTGTTTTGAATAATTATAGTGAATTACATGATTTTATAAATTTATCCTATATATTTTTTAAATTCTATAAATACAACTTATGTTCCAACAGACCTTTAAAATTCCATTTACTTGTCAGCTGCACGTTTTTCTCTGTAATATATCATAATCGTAGACTGAGTTGCATCCCCAGCGCCCACCTCAACATCTTTTCAAGATGGCACAGGTTAGAGGGGCGTCAAAAGTAAATCCTTGTTTTAAAGGACCTCAGCATATTTCACAACCACCGTTGTCACTTGGCTTGTCTTAACTGTTATCATTACTGTTCTGATAACTCAGAATAAATTGAGGCATAAATAGGCAGTAACTGGCTCAAAATACAAACATATCTGTATGAAAGCAAAGAAGGGAACTCACTTAACCCAGTTTCAATCCTGTGTGTTATAGCGTTTTCTCTTTATAAAAATTCTTTTGAAAGTAGCTTTGGAATTCTTAATTAAATACGAGGTGAAATCAGGTACATCTCTCACTAGATGAGATTATGATAAGCAGGAGGTCTCATTTTTCTGTAACAGGTTTTACTGTCCTATAGGCTTATTGACAGTAACTTATCGTTACTAGTCGTTCCAAGGGCTACTGCATAAAAACGAAGTGAAATAAAATTATCATGATGGAATCCTGACTGCCATTTTCAGACACTGTAGTTGTATCTGCTTTTGCTTTTTGGGGTTCCATGATCTTAATATTTCAGTACTACAGGCAAATAAGGCAAATTTCTATCTGGATAAATTAAAAGGTCTTCTGTTCTGCATTATTGAAACAAGATGGACAGTTACTATGTGAAAAACAGCTTGTCAGTGTTAAGAAAAAAGTTTGTTTTGTACTCATTATGACTGAAAACAGCGCACCCATCTCAGGGTTGAAATTTTTATACTTAATTCCATTTTCACTTTGTTTTCCTATGTAGCAAGCATATTTGTTGGTTGAACTATCAAGATTATACAGCAGAAACTCAAATCAATACTAACAACGTTTTGTAGTTTGTTTCAACATTTGATTTTTCTGTTCGTAAAAGAACAATTAGTTCTCTGGGCAACCACACAGTTCCCCATACCACGATATTTAACTAACTTATGCAAAGTAGCTTTTGCAGAATGAGGAATCAAGTGAGGTCACTGGTCTGAGCCGCTTCTGGCCAGCCAGCTACAAAAAGTGTTATAAGACTTCATCCTATTGGGCTTCTTCAAAAACTTGATACCTATACTTCAAACTCTATCACTTCTCTTTGTGAGCAATACTTGTCAATCCTGAATATGTTTACCTCCTTCCAGCTCTCTATTATTATTATTCCCTTTCCTCATATTTCCACCCAAAATACACTCAGCAACATCATGCCTTCTGTAGATGGCATGAAGTATGTATGATGGCATGTAGATGGCATGTATGAAGTGATTCTAATCCCTTACAAGAAAAGGGTGTGGGAAAGCAGTACGGTGACAGAAGTGACAAAAATAGATTACAGAACCTTAGCATTACACAAGATAGAGCATAGCATTATAGGCATTGAGAAGAGTTATTTCCTTACTGAAAGCTGTATTTGCAGAAACATACCCTGAACAGGGGATATTTCAGCTGTGCACCATGCCTGTGATAAAACTGTCAACTGTCTTCCCCACCATTTACTTACATAGATCCATAATATGGTTTCTGCAAATGGCACAGTTATCAACCACAATGTCCCATGCCCACAGAGCTACTGCATTCCACTAGAGAGAGAGAAAAAAAGAAAAACATAGTTTTAACTCAATTTACAGCACACACAAATCCTTGTTTTTCCCCTCAAGATGCTATATATTTCTGAAATGGAATCACAGAATCTCAGAATGGCTGAGGTTGGAAGAGACCTCTGGAGATCATCTAGTCCAACCCCCCTGCTCAAGCAGGGTCCTCTAGAGCACACTGCCCAGGATTGTGTCCAGGCGAGTTTTGAATATCTCCAGCGAAGGAGACTCCACAACCGCTCTCGGCAACCTGTTCCAGGGCTCAGTCACCCTCCCAGGAAAGAAGTTTTTCCTCATGTTCAGACGGAACTTCCTGTGTTTCGGTTTGTGCCCGTTGCCTCTTGTCCTGTCACTGGGCACCACGGAGAAGCGTCTGGCCCCATCCTCTCGACACCCTCCCTTCAGATATTTGTATACATTGATCAGATCCGCTCTCAGTCTTCTCTTCTCCAGGCTAAACAGTCCCAGCTCTCTCTGACTTTCTTCATAGGAGAGGTGCTCCAGGAAAAGCAGGGACATTCCACAAAAAAAGATCTTAGAAGTCCAGAGCCATTCCTTCTCATGAGTTCAAGAGTGTTAGAGGAAAGCAACAGTGCATTCTCCTCACAAACCTCTCAGACCTAATGCCTCCTTTCTACTTTAGAAGCAAGAGCTACCTCCCTTAGTCCCCTTTTTTGTCAAACAAATGTAATCATCTGCATTTCTATTCAAGATTCCTAGGCAAGAATGCATCTCAAACTACATCCTCAATTCTGATGGAAAAGACACTGCCTTGGAGAAAGGCCAATCCAAATGCCATTTTGTTAAGAGGAATTTCCATTATTTGCAGCAGTTCTAAGAAATAATTTTCCCTTAAAACAGTTGGAACCCATGACTGGAATCATCTCTTACACTACCTTTCCCTGACTCCCAAACGACTAAATAGATGGGCTTGCCTTCAATATTCAGAGCAGTCTGAGAGCATATAGGTAGCCAGGATAATCTTCACTTACTACTAAATTAAGAGGTCCAGACATTTTGTTTCTTTCCAGCCTACTGACTGAGGTACTTATCTTCCAAGGACTTCATCTCCTCATTGAGGCATCTAGCAAGTTCCCAGTGCCCTCATCTCTTCCATGCTCTCACATACTTAATCCCTTGCTCCCACATATGCTACTCTGGGGACCCATAGGCCTATTCTGAGCCAAACACACATGCACACACACACCAGATGTGCCTTGGTATATTGCTGGGGAGGAGGAATACCACCAACAGATAAGAGGTGCCACTTCCTGCTCTTCTCATGCGCTGGAGTGGCACAGCTGTAGAGGTACTACTGTAACAGCTCCGGGAAGGAAATAAAGCGCCACACATTATACATGACAGCTATAATGAACATACTGCAGGGCTACTCTCGCACATACTGTTGTTGCATTGGCACCTGATGGCACAGTTATCATTCAGAACTGCAGTAATACATAATACCCTGGCATCGGTATATTGCCTAGCTCTATTTCCAAAGAACAAGCAAGCACTTTATTCAAGCACCTGCTTCTGCATAGACCTGCAGCCCAGCACAGAGCTAGGAGTTTCCCCCACCAGAGATGACAACTGTATTTCAAGTAAACTAGCCTGGACACCATCCTACAAACAGGAATCACTATATACGTATGAATCACTAGATGGAAGTGTTTGCTGATAACCAGTCTGGTTTGTCCAACACCAGACTCTAGTGTTGGACAACCCCACCCAACCTCCCTACCTGGCCTGTGCCCTTGTGTAACAGACAGGGGTGTTTACCGCCTTCCACCTGGCAAACCAACCGCAGGCGCTGAGCAGACCACCTACATCATGACTGTTTGGGGGAAACAAGACAAAAACCGGAGGGACAAGAGAGCGTTTGCTGACTACACAAGCGCCGTTACTGCTCGATTTAAAAGGAGGAGGGGGGGAAAAAACAAGAAAAAGAAAGAAAACGGCAAATTTGCGCAAAGCTTCTTACAGGGCAGCGAGGGGCGGGGGGCAGCCGGGCCCCGGCGGGGCGGGCGGCGCCGCAGCCCCCTCACGAGGGGCAGCCC